ATATCCCTCAGACCATGTGGCATGAAGAGTTCATTTCTGGAAGGTTGAAAGGGCCCTGGTAGAAGTGAAAGAAGGGGGATGAGCCAGGTAGTTCAGTATACCGACTACTGGACCAAGTTTAAGCTAACTGTGGGCCTGAGTTTCTCCCTGTTTGTGAAGCAACTGACATCTTTAAGATGTCAAGCCAATAGAGCTTTTTAAATGACTATGTAAGATCTTCCTGCTAAGAACCAATGAGAAAATGAATACTGATCCCTTTCAAGGCTGGTTCTCTTTCTGGGACCAGCTCCTACTGCAAGCCTATGTGCCAAAACACATGGCACATCAGTGGGAGGGAGAGCAGACTCCAGAACGCAGACAGTATTTGTCTTTGCTCAGTGAGGTCCAACAGTGTGTGGAAGGATACAGTACTACTGGTACCAGAACAGTCCCCATCATGGGTCTTTGGCCTGCAGACAAGACCTTACAACAGGAGCCCTTTCTTTCGGCAACTTCAGTTGCATTGTAAACACTGGCCAGTCGGATGAATTTTGTTAACTGGTAATGTGAGGCCTAGGATTTCCTTCTCTGTAATTCTTCAGCTATAAAAATCAAAGGTACAGTGAAGGAGGCAAGCTTAGAAAGGGGATAAAGGATGTGATCAAACGGCTCCTCAAAATACCAGGTCCTTTCTGTTTCACAGATTCTGTCACACCTGCACCCAGTGATATGTTCTTTACACATGTGCTCCTGGTTATAACAAAGATGATGTGTGTCATGGTGGATCATTTCAAGTCTCTTCTCTCCCAAACACACTGGTTTAAAAGTTACATTCAGGTACTTTGGTGCTAGCCTTAAACACTTACCCATCGACTGTTTTTGTTCTTATGCATTTTAAGGTGCCAAAGAAGACGTGCAAACTGTGACATAACTTCTATGAAGCGATGAAGTAAAGAATGGAAGGCAAGTGACGGTGATGGTTACAAAAGGTGCACATGGTGAGTGCTTCTCCCCGTCTCATATTCTACCACCAAGTGACCAGCAAGTGAGGATTGTCCAGCACTTTGTCCTGTATGCACACGGACCAGCTGGGAGAGAGCTAAGCAGCCATTGTGTCTAGGCTGAAAGCCCACGTCACTTTCAGTATCTTTTGTAATTAACCCATCTCACAAGAAGTCATGTAGATTATCTACAGTGTAACCACAAAGAGATTAAAATACACTCCATGCTATTAGAATGTGTAAGTTAGCAATCTTTAGACTTTTTTTTTTCTGAACTGCCATGTTCCATGATCATGTTTGTGTCAAAGGTATTCCGGCTGGAGAACAAATACCATACAGTCAAATAATCTCGAGGGGTGTGCTAATCTATAGCCTTTCTTCATCTTAGGGTGGGTTGCTGTGGCAACCGCCCCAGCTCACTTTAAAATAATTTTTTAAAGCTCACTTCAAGAGCTACACCCAGCGTGGGCCAGGCTTAAAAGCAGGCAGAGCCAGTGCACAGGGCTTTAGCACACTGCTGCTTTAATGTAGGCAAGTAGAGGGGTGAGGAGGGTGTGGTACGACAGCAAACAAGTGAACAGAAACTGCAACAGGAGCTTTCCCTGGCGCCAGAATCCCAAGGATTATTATCTCTGTAACTTCTGCAACACTTGAGCTAAAAACGTGGCTAACCATCCGTCTTTTTGGATGGAGGGGGGAATCAGTGAGTGTATATTTATGTTTGTAAGAAGGCACCCATGATGATCCTTTAATGAAGGAAATATTGGGTGATTAGACCAAAAGCTGGCTGATCTAATAGCCCATCAGTCTCAGAAATCATTTTCTCACAAAGAATGTGTCACCTTTTAATTAACTGGATAGACCCCTAGCTTCCAATTCATTTAAAGGAGAAAAGCTTTTTTTTTTTTTTTCTACTCACACAACCAGAGATGTGTGTGATCTTGCCTATAAGCAAACTGCAGTGCAGAAAGGACCATCCACTGGATTCTCTTAAGAGAGTCCAGGTCTCCCATTCCCTGCCTGGGAAAATGCTGTGATCTTAGGCAAGCACCATCAGGTGGCAAAAGATCAGAATGACTGCAGTCATATAGATAACTGCACGGTCCTGACACATTTGAAGAAGACAAAGCACAGACCACATTGACCAATTGGCAGATTCCTTATGAATAATGTAAACGCTCAGGTGAGTTTCAGCTGTGCATTTCTGTTTTACCTTTTCTGTTCCACCTCAGCTGCAGGGGTGTACAGGAAGGGAACTAATGCCAATATTAACTTAGGTCACACATAGTTAAGAAGCCAAATCTGCTTGAAGGGGAGGAGTCTTGCATTTCAAAAAGCCAACCGTGATACATTCCAGATCCAGATTATTTTCAAATGGTCCACAGCGTGGGGTGGTGCCTACTTCTGAATGCTCGCATTTCACTCTGATACTCTTGGGTTTCTTATCATGTTAATTATAAACAAAGCTTTAACACAAGAAAAAGGTAAAGTGAAAGTGTTTCTATTGGGAAAACAAAGCAAATCTCAAAAGCAAAGTGTACTAGAATAAATAGAATTATCAGCTGTAATCCATAAAAACGAGCACAACTGAAACGCATTGACTAAATCTACCCGCTCATGTTAAATAGGCTATTACAACGCATCACATTCATTTCAGGCATTATGACAAACCCACGTGGTCCATCAAGTGGCTTGCTCTATCAGGAACTTTGTGAGTCTTGAAAAAAAAAAACCAAAATTCATTTCACTTTACCATCATGTGCACACACCTCAGTACTCAAATGCCCCTATGCCTTTAAGCTGTTTTTCCTTTTTCAACTAAATTGTACCTGAGTGAAAACCTAACCTACCTCTCTCTCCCACATGATGAAACAGAAATTATGGTGAGAACAAACTCACTCCGAGAGACAAACAGGCCACAGTGCAATGTAGAGACTGCTGTGACCCAGAGCTGCTTCCTGGCAGTTGGCCGTGAGTTCTTACAACAAAAGCCAAGGAATTGTCCTGGCTGGACTGACGGTCACAGCAACCATGAGCAAAAAGTTTGGAGATGGTTTGGATCTAGCTGAGATTGCCAGAAAATCCACCTTCCCCTGCTGGACCCAGGCTAGTAAGAGGAACCAGTTGCATCCACCGGCCCTGGGTGAGCTACGGAGTGCAGGAGCGATGCTTTTAGAATGAGGAGCTATCTTTAATTAGCCAGGTACTCCAGTGTCCGCCCATTGTCTAGTCTAGCGCAGACTCCCTCCAGATTGGCCCTATCAGAGATACTAAACAGCTTTAATGTTTTCTATGACCTATGGTTCCCTAGGGCTGCAATCTTGCCATTTCCCGCTCTGCACCCTGGCTAAAATGTATTTTATCTTTGGCTCCTATTGGGCGTGGTAGCCTTGTGTGGGGCAGAGGAAACACCAGCCTGAGTGGCAGCCCCTTTGGGGTGAGGGGGGAGAGGAGGAGGAGGAAGGGGTTGGCGTGGGGGAGGGGGGGTAAGGAAGAGTGTTTATTATGCTTCAACCTACACATAAGTCTGCTTTCTTATCAGCCTCTGGTTCTGTTTCCTGTACAGCTGAACCTCTTCAGGATAAAGTGAAGTCATCAGTTATCGGCCAAGAGTAGCCTAATGCATTTGGGAAGTGGGTTCGCTTTACATGTTCAGGACCTGGATAAAGTCCAGCGAGGTGTGGAAGGGACGGGGTGGGGGCGGGGCTGTCCAAGCAAGCGGCAGAAGCCTGGCTCAGGGATGTGGCCAAAGTGACAGCAAAGTTCCTCTGGCTCTCGCTGAAGTCTGGATGGCACATGCTGGTCATGGCTCTCTCCTTCCGTGCATTAGTCACCACAGCGACACTTTCTGGCTCTTTTCCAGCCCTTTTTCCCGACCTCAGGGAGACCAAGACCCCGAATGCTCCGAGGCTGCAGGCGGCCCCAACCCGCGCGGCTTTGGCGCGTGAGTTAGCAGCGGAAGGCGCGGGCCGGAGCCATCAGACCCCCGCGCCCCCCGCGCCCCCCGCGCGGGAGCCTGCAGCTCGGTCGCGCTCCCATTGGCCGAGCGGAAAGATCCGACTGGTCGCGGCCCTTCCCGCCAGCCGGCTCCCCGGGTCCCCCGGGGCAGAGAGCGGGCAAGTCGCAGCCCCGACTCCCGGCTGTGCGTCCTCGGGCCCGTCGCTCGCCACCTTGTCTTCCCTTCCGAGCCAGAAAGAATTGTCATTAGGTGTGCGTACCGCTCGTGCCATTACCCCACCTTACAACTAAAATTAGCAAAATGTCAGGAATGGAAAGATTGATTCAACCCAGATGCAATTATCATTTAAAAGTGCTTGATTGAGGTACTGATGTTCAGTGATTTATTCTGCATACCATATACATAATTAAAGTAGTGGAGTGAAGTAATTTATCAATCTAGTTGAGACTGGAGGGGTGAGCAGCGAGCTGCCGCGGTTCTGTTTGTTTTATGAAAATGCTCCGAGCTCTGGGCCCGCCCCCCTCTCGCCCGAGTGGAGACAGACGATCGCTGCAGCTCGGGAGGACCGTGCGGCTCGGGGGGGGGGGGGCTGGTGGTGATTGTGGGGTGAAGGAGCCAGGGACAGGGCGGCCACGGGCGCGTGGAGCGAGTGCAAGGACAAAAACCCGGCGACGGGGCCCAGGCAGCTCCCAGGTCGCGACCTGTGTGCGCGCCCCCTCCCGGGGCCCTACAGGACCCCCCACAACCCGCTCCCCAACACGCGCACACACCCCAGCACCCCCGCCTGGTTACGCGATGTTTCCAAGGCCGCGAACCGCTCTCCGTTCCCCCTCCGGCTTCGGTCACTTCCTTCCTGGACGCAGTTTTCTGGACGAGTCGGCTTACTTTTAACCCGGCCGGCCTCCCGAGCGCCACTTTCTCCTCCCTCCTCTTCCTCCACCTCCTCCTCCTCCTCCTCCTCCAGGAGCGGCCTCCGCGTGCGCGCGCGCCGGTGTGGGTGCGCGCCCCCTCCCCGAGCGCGCCGCCCCCTGCGCGCCCCCGCCAGCGCGCTCACGCGCACACCTCGTCCCCAGCCCTCGGCTCTCTCTGCTCGCAGTCACAGTCGCTGGAGCACCCGCGTGCACCCGGACATCTTCGGGCTGCTATTGGATTGACTCTGAGGGTTCTGGCTGTGTGGGTCGCCGGCACGGCGTGTTGGAATCAGGTGGAGCAGCGCTTCCAGGCTGGACGAAGTAAAGACCACTGTTCTTTTTTTTAATCCCCCCCTCCCTCTTTCTTAAGAAAGGAAAATATCCCAAGGACTAATCTGATCGGGGCTTCCTTCATGTAAGTACCTCTGACATTTTTCCAGGAAATTGCAGACAGCCCGGGTTAGTTTCTGAAATGTGCATCCATGTACCCCGCCGCCCTGGGTCTGTTTCCTTTTTTTTTTTTTCTTTCCTGTTTTGTGTGTGTGTGTGTTTTGTTTATTTAATTGGAGGGGGAGGCTGAAGTTGAGGCTCGTGGTGGGTGCCTTCTCCGCGTGAGATTCCCCGTACTTGTGTGTTGTTAAAAGTAACTTTGGAGGTAGCCGGGTGCGTTTTGCCATCAGCTGCTCCAGGCACTCCTGCCTCGTTTCCTGTCACACCAGCGTGTTTAAAGTTTCATGAAGTTAGTGCACGTCATGAGCATGCTGGATGGAGCTGGTGGGTTTCACTGGTTCACGGGAGGTTCTGTGACCTTGAAGGCGATGCCTTAAGACTGCGGGTGAGTTCACGGTGGGAGATGCGCTCGCAGAAGCCCCCCACCCATCTGCCCGAGACTCTGATCTGCGCCGGGTGCTGCCTAGGAGCCTCTAATTCTCCGGATTAGTTTAAGCTGCAGCCGGGCTGTCAGCACACGCACCTAGGGGCAGCTCCTTCCATCTGCAGGCTCTGCCTGCTTAGGTAGCTTGGACCGACAAGACGTGCCCCGGACGGGCTGTGATAGTCGGTTTTTCACAACTCGCGCTGGGGTTTCAGTGTTGAGGACTTGCCGTGTAGCTCCAGTGGAAGACAGAAACTGCAAAAGCAGGAGCGGTTCAGTCACATAGATTGCCCTCGTGCTTGGACTTTGGATGAAAGTTACCAAACTCCGTGATAAAAGTTTGGCACAAAGGAAGCATAGGTATATGGTCAGGGCATTTGGTTATTGTGTTATTAAACATTATGCAAGCATGATACTCTCTGTATTGCTGATGCTGTTTGCTCCCCACCCTAGAAAGTGGAGAATGGTTCTTTAAAGGGAATTTCGTTTCAGAATCATTTCTGACGATCCAGTGAGTTATTGTTCCTGGGAGAAAGGCTTTTTTTTTTTTCTTCTTCACATTTTAGGGATGTGTGCCTTTTGTATAAAATACTCCTGACATGCTGACACTAGAAACCCAAGCAGGCACTCTGCCAGCCCTTGAGCCAGTGCTGGGTGGAGAACTGTCATGACACGGAGTGCATCTTACTGTTGTGAATATGGCACTAAGTTCAATAGCAGCTTAGGAAATGCTGGAGGATGGCATGCATTTTCCAAGTGCTGTAGGAGACACTCAACCACCTCGTTAGATCCGTGCAAAGATGTGCAAGTGGCCAGCCTCCGGTTCATTGCACCTTGCAATGAAATTGTGGTAGCAGAGGGAAGATGTTTACAGCAGCCCTGAGAGATGGGACCACCTGTGAACCCCCTTCAGCCCTGCAGTGCAGACCCATTGTAGCTTCAACTAAAGTAACAATCTCCACTTCATGACCAAAGGATCCCATTGAATTTTTAAGATCATGCCGGATTTGGCTAGTCGTTGAACATGTTCGGCGAACAGCACGAGCAGTATTTTTGTTTCTGCATGAGTCTCTGTTAAAAATGAGGCAGTTCATAAAGTCTGTTGCCTTCCAGCCTATGCATGCAGTTATGTATTTATTTTGCTGAAAGAGGTTGCTCTCCATCAAGTGCATTCAGAACATGATAGGGAGGATGCGATGACCCCATCTGACACCTACCTCAAGACAAAAAAGTCTCCTAAATCCACTATCATTGCATTTGCAGGAAAGTAAGCTTATATTAGATGACTAAGTCCATTCTGAAAGGTTTTTTTTTTTTTAATCAAAACACACTTTTAGCATAGTGTTTGTTTAAAATGGGGTTTCCCAGTGAAGTCAAGGACACAATAGCTGGCAGCTTCCTTTAATTTTCACTAAACTTGAGAAAAGTCTCATTTTTCATTAGTGTCATTCGCACAGCTTTGACTGCTAAGCATATGTTTCAGACTTCTGATCAAAGATAATGTTTTACTTCATTCATCAGTTATGCTTTTGCATCCTGATTATCATGTCTGGGCATGTCTTGAAAAATCATAAGAAGCCAGAACTTTTAGTAAATATTGTTTTTTTTAATTTGAGTTTAAAAATGAGCACTTTATGATAAAGTCAATTTTTCACCATTTCTAAACTATTTATGTGTTTTTTGTAAGAATTTAATCATAGGCATTAACTTTCCAAGACAGAAACACATTGATACTAAATAGCTACATGAAACTTAAATAACAAGGGCTTGTTGCACTTTGTCTACTCCTTGCAAATATATTTATTTTGCAAAATTTGGGGGACCTGGTCCATTCCCATAGGGAAAAGGACCATTTAAAGAGTTAGAATTGTATCCTGAGAAAGAATCATGTATTATCCCAGGTGGAAATCTATTAAGCTCTTCTTTGGCCCTCCCACTACCAATTTAATAAATTATATAATATAACTCTATCTTGCTAATAAGTGATTCCCGGGAATTAAATTTGCTCAATAAGGAACTGCACTAAATAACTCCCTAGCCTATTTTAGCGTTATCATTTAAAACTTTCTTCTCTTTATTCTAGCATATGTTGTGGTTTTTATTTCCCAACACCACCTGGGGTAGATTTTGAGTCTATAAAATATCAGAAAGTGACAAAATGGGAAAATATCGGAGCAGCGATAGTTGTGCTGAATAGCAACAAAGAAATGGTTACGATCAGAGAACCGTGGTTTTCAGGACACAACTCAAAGCATTGTGGAAGTGTTTCATGTACAATTCAGGGTCATTACATGGAGGAGAAAGAGGGTTTAAAAAAAAGTTCTACTTTTTAATTTTTTTCAGAAGCATATCACCCAAGAACACATCCCAAGTTAAAGTATGAGACAAACAAAAATGTGCATGCTTGTTGTCCCAGACACAGGACCAGGCTACTGACTCTAAAGGGCAGCGAGCATGCCATCTGGCCACAAACAGGTGATGAGGGTCCTGGGCCCAGCCCTGCAGTTACTCTCTCAGTTCACTTGGACCATTCTGCATTGAATGAAGCCTGGCTGCTCTCTGAGGTCCATCATCTCTTTAGGGTATCAGAGCCGATTGCACTGGCAATTCACAAAACCAGGAGCCATCGTCAAGTCCACGCACCTTACAAAAAGCAGATTACACAGTTCACGTGTTAGTTGGGTAGGTCAAAGATAAAAGCCGATTGTTGAGAAACGGCAAGACGCACCAATTCTGAATGATAGCTAGATGACTGCACTGCGACCCTGTTGCTTCCTCGTTACCGAGAGCCATTCACACGGTAGTCAGCTCAGTTCTCAGATGGCAGGCTCTCCGCAGCGAAATGGGGGAAAACATGTCCCCACTTCTTTACACGAATAGACAGCAAGTTGTCTGAGTGAGGTGGTTGTACTAAGGTGTTCTGTGCATTAGAAATTTTGGAGGTGTAGGGGTGCAGAGTAGAGATATAAAGTTCACCCACAATATTGAGTAAATGAGTAGAGCATATGTGCCGGTCAGTACCCATCCTGTCATGTGCTCCCAAGTATATTCTTCATCAGGATGTGCGATTACATGGTTATGAATGCATACATCTGAAATATATCTTAAAGGGTGCTTATTAGTCAAATTACATATATATATATATAGTATGATTGTCATCATAAGATCATTCTCTACAAGAAAATGTGCCGGGTGAGGGTTTATTTCAGAGAATGAAGTTGAGGCTTACATGGAATTGTGCAAACCCCAACTACTTCCACATCCAACTCCACCGTAATTTCTTGCTTCTTCAAAAATTGAAGTCCTTTTTTACCCAACTGATGCCTCCTAGTGTTTCACACAATAAAACACTAATGAGTCACTCGTAAATGTAAACATTGCATTTTCATCGCCTCTTCTGTGATACATAAAATTAATATTTATGTGTTTAATTTTCTGTGCATTATTATAATAAGGTTCGAAGTTCTAGTAAATGAAATGTTTCCTCGGAGTGGATTTCTGGCAGACACTTGCAGGTTCCCTTTGACCATTAACAATATCTTAGTAAGTTTTAGTAAGTTTATGATCCTCCATGCCAGCTCATCCATTCCAGGTTGACAGTCAGTCCTATTTCTCAGTGAGAAACATAAGCAGAATGGCAAGGCTTCCATTTTGTAGGCCTAGTCATTGTATAGCTGAGCTAATCCTGAAATGCCTGGTAGACCAGTTGCAAAGGGACTAACTATTTCATTTAAACCCTGGACTAGCTTCATTGAGACAGAGCTGTTTTCTGTTCTTTGGCATCCAAACCCTTGCAAATTTCTGGGGAAGAGTGGTATCCAAGAGAAAGAGGGCTTGGAAAAATTTAAGAGTGAAGATAAGTGCACACCTTTGCACAGAAAGGAAATGAATCGCATTATTAGCAAATAGAAGAACTTGGAGGGGATAGGAATGCTACTTCATGGAACAGAAGCTCGTTAGGGCCTCATTTCTCACGACCAGAGGCTCCTTGGGTGCCGTGGCAGTGAGGCTGGTTATCTGCTTCGGGGATGGTGAGCAGAAACCCCGGGTATTAATGTAGTCTGTGATGTGCAATGAGGAGAATGGGCGCTTCAGGTCCTATGTTTTTTTTTTTTTTTTCCTGCACTGTACTTAGGAGAGGATCCCCTGGTGGGGCTGAAATTCACAAGCTATACGGGCTATGCCTACAGCACTCATGGGCTTCTCCTGGAGTTGGCACAGAACACACGTGCACAAAAACAATCACAAATTCCAAGTCCAACAGTTAGCAAGGTTCTGAGCTTGTGATACACTTGTTGTCTTTCTGTTACCTGAGTCTGGGGCGTCTGGCTGTACTGAATCAGAGCACACAGCATCTGAACAGGACTTGACTGTCAAGGTTTTCTAAATCCGTCCATATTCCAGGGCCATTACCATTCAGTGCCTGTTGGACACATTTCAAAGAATGTAAGGGGGTGTGTTCCTTTCGGCCAAGGAAGCAAACATGTCGAAAGGGGTGGGCCTTTCCCACAAGAGCTGCTTGGCGAGTTGAAGCAAACACA